AGGGAGTGCGAAGGAACCGATCCCGAAAGAGAAAAAGGCGTGCACGTCCACGTCCCTACCGAGCTCGAATACGCGCTGGACTGCCCTAAAAAACTCTGTCTGGCCCTTCTGTTGGAGGATCGCGCTGAGGGCCTGGGAGGAAAAGTGAGGCACAGCTACTTCCACGGACGCCGCCAGGAGGAGAGTTAGGGTGCTCAGAGTGAGAAGGGGGTATTCGGGGCGGCAGATTTCGCGAAGGCGGGGCCAGATGGCTGGAGGGGGTGAGGTTGCGGGGGTTAAGCGGGAGGAGGGCGAGGAGGAAGGGGTACAGGGCGAGGGGAAGAAAATGGCGCGTGCCCACTGTAGGAAAAAAGCGAAGGAGCGAGGGAGGGACCGGTGGAGGAGGGGATGGGCGGCTTCCTCCACGCGCACGTAGGGAAAGATGGCGGTGGAAGAGGAGGAAGAGGAAGACGGTGAGAGGGAGGGAGACGACGATTGGGGGGTAGGGGAGGCGTCGGGGACAGAGAAGGTCGAGGCGTCGTCGTCGTTGGATTTGTAGAGTCCCGAGGGCCGGAGTATGTAAGGGCGGTGGAAGAAGCCCCTGTTCAAAGGTGTTGTGTAGCAAAACGCTTTCCAGCAGCAAGGAGGAGAAGGGAAAAAGGATGGAGGTAATTAAGTTTGCCTCCATCGTCTCCAGAGGAGATAGGTCTGGTCCAGGCATCTCCACTTGAGGGATGCTTAAGTCTCACAAGCCCGTCATCGAAGGCGGAAATTAGTCCGCCTCCGCCATTTCTATAACACGTGCAGATGCTAACATACCTGAGCCCCCGGGCGTCCCTCTTCTCTTTCGCCCGCCAAAGACAGAGGCCTTTGCTAGTGCGGCCAGCGCCACCATGAGCAGAACCACCAGAGGCGACGACGCCCGCATCCTTTCGCAGATCTCGTGGATTCCCGCTCCAGATTATGTAAGAAAGACGGAGGGAGAGATTTTCAGGGTTTGCCTTGAGCCAGTCCTAAAAAGTAGTCCACTGTTGCCCGGTCAAGTGGCAGGATCTGGCCAGGGGGAGATGGGAGGGGGAAGGAATCAGTGGCAGGTCTCTGAAAAAGTAATTCCACAGGTGCACGGGGGCCGATGAAGCCTTCGCTCCTTTTCGCATACATGCAAAAAGTCACCACATCAGCAACGGGATGGTCTGAGTGCTTCATCAGGGCGGACTGACGCCACGCCGACCACAAAGCAGGCAATCGATCTCTCTCGCTAAAGCGACGCATGCACGTACGGAGACGGTGGCGGGGTCCGCGGGAAAGAAGTAGGCCGTGAAACGCCAGCGTTCTGGGGTTCTGACCTGGACAAACCACGCGCTTGTTGTCCTCCCTGAAATATTTTCCTGCGTCGTTGCGTTATTTTTCGTAAACTCCTCTCTTTGTGACTAACGGTCAAATCTCCGCCCCCGCTCAATGAGTGATCCTGGCATCGATCCATCCATCTCTAATGCGCACCGACCCCGAACAAACTAATTAAGCCAGAGAGATTCGTCCGTCCACCGTAGCGTGCCAATCACCAGACTGGCGGCGGTGCCAAGGACAGCGTGGGTGGAAATTTCGCGGGTGGTATTCCCATATCGACTCTGGAGGTCTCATCATAGGAGCTGGGGCAACGGCTGTCGCAGTAATAGCGGCTTATGTTGCCGCGATAAAAGTGACGGGAACCGCCAGTGGTACTGGTACACAAGTAGTTTGAAGGAATGCGAGGATAGAAGACGCCCCTGCTCTGGGCCTTGTTCATTGCCTGATTGTCGCGGAAGTCGAGCACTGGAGGAGGGCCATCTCGGAGTAAGGTTGGTGGCGCGCCATTTCTCGAAGCGAGCCTTGACGCTCCGCACGGTTTGGAAACATTTCGGAAGGACCCGGTACTCCAGCTCTTCCTCCTTTCCGACCCCCTCCTTGGCCCCCTCCGATTCGCCGCCGGCAAAGCCCGGCGGTGCCAGCGTGGAGGAGGAGCCAGAGCCCCCCGGGGAGTCCGAATGCTGCGGCAACGGTACGTAGGGCCCTCCTGCAAAACCCCAGCACGCATTGCATGAATCGGCGCGAGCATTGGCAGGGCGCAGGCCAGGTTCCTCTCGTTGACGGTTGATGTCCCCACTCGAACCTTTTCTCCCCTCCGTGGCCGACAGGGTGCGACGACTGCGTCTGGATCGAGTACTGGGAGAGGCTGGAGGACTTCAAAGCCCGGCAGAAGGAGAGGGCGCAGGCTGCGCAGCAGGGTGTGGAGGAGCACGACTCGCGGCACCGCGAGGGGAGGGACGAAAGCCAAGGGGCATAAGCACGCCGAGGGGACAGATGCGGGTCTGGCCGGTCCCATACGGGGAGGGAAGATTGCTCCTAGCACCACCCATACCCTTAGGGAGCGAAGGCTTACCGCCCGCTGGCAACGGCGTGTGCGACGACGGGGAGAGCGACAGGGTCGGGTGTGCTGTACATTAATGGACAAGGTATATATATGTATATCTATATATCTTATAGATATAGGGGGAGGCAAGGTACATGGAGAATCTCCTCGCCACCGGCTGTTCAGGTTCCCGTCTGGTCTCTCCGAGGAGAAGGGGAGATGAGTTGGCTGCTACCGCTCGTACTTTGGGATGTAAATTGTGTGATAGCCTTGCGCGCGGCGTGACCTAGGCAGCCACCTGCCCAGGGGAATCATCCATAGCTTCGGCCGAGAGGCGCGCAGCGACACAGAGCCTCCGGGCATCTAGGGAGACTCAGGCTTTTGCTGCATTTGGGTCATTTTTTTTCCTTGTTCGCGACCAGGCATCTGCCTCCCTAGAGCCCCATGGCCCTCGCATTTTCCTTCTGTGCCTACACCGGGCCCGACCAACTTGATTTCCCCCCCCCTCCTTGGAGAAGACGACGCTGGCGCCGTGCCTTTC